GGGTCCAAAAAAATAAAATAATATATATATTAATTTTTATTTTTTTGTATATTTTGTAAATTAATTGGGCAAAGTGTTATATATATAATTTGTATATTTTGTAAATTAATTGGGCAAAGTGTTTAGAGCAGTAAATTATCTTTTTATTATAAAGTTGGTAAGTGACATATATTATAAAGTTGGTAAGTTAACACTCACATAAACAACTAAAGTTTATTCAATAATAGTGAGTTATCTTTTTAACTTGAGTTTTACTACTCGAATCTTACATAATCAGTATTTTAATCATGATTTGAGTTCGAAACACAAAAACAATCGAATTGGTCAACGAGAAATGAATACTAGTGATGGATAAATTTTACAGAACTCAATAACTTTAGATTAAATATATACTAATCATTAAGTTAAAATTTAATAATTTAACAGGGCTAAAATTCAAAATGCATATATTTCAAATTGTTAATTTATCTTTGCCGATCAATACATTCTATTTCAAAACTAATAAACAAAATATATTTTAGTAAAATTTCAAAATTCGAATTCATAATCTTTGAATTTTGAATCTGTATCGAATTATGTGTTGTTTTTGCTTGATGCAAGAATATGTGCTGTTTAATGATATTTTACATATCATTTAAATAATTCATCAATACATTATTATTTTTTAATTAATACTAAGAATGACAATTCACAAGTAAGACTTTGCCAGCAGACATTCTTTTGCCAACCAAACACACATAAAATATTGGGCAATAAATGGATATAAGAATTTAATAGCAAAATGTATTTGCCTTGTCAAAGAGGACACAACAATAATAATAATAATAACTAGTGACGGACAATTTCTATAGTTAAATAACAAAAAATATAATAATTTTTATCAACGATGGATTAATGATGAATTATTAAAAAATTATGTTAATTACGAACTATTTAAGGCAAAAAAGCACATGATCTTTTTGTATATCCAAATGATTGAGGCAATGAGGAGTTAGTTTTAATTTGTAGACAATTAAATGCAGAAAATATTTAAGAAAACTAGTAGTTGAGAATTTGAGTAGGTAAAATTTAGGTCCTACTAATATTAATAATATGTTGGACTTATATATGGAAGTTGGAACAAGTTCTTCTTAAATGTACTTTTAACGGGTTGCTTTATTAGTGAAATAAGAGATAATAATTTTGAAGAAAAAAAAATGAGATACTTTTTTGTTGTTGATAATTATTATTGTGTGGATTAACTTGTGTGCATCTTAATAAATTTCACCATCAATAAGCATATGGGTAACTCTGTCTACTCATATTTGAATACATGAAAAGAAATCATCTTTAGGGGGTTGAGAATCGTGAGCTCAACTCGATGTTGTAACTAACTCTAGTAAGCTCGGTACAATACTAAACAAGCTTGTCTATACTCAATTCAAATTTGATTCAATTCCACTTGATATTATAATAAGCTTGATTAAGCTAGGCTCGGAAGTGGTTTGCTCGGTTCAATAGAACCCAGACCTAATCATAAGGTTCGACATAAACATGATTTGTCGTTTGCTGGAGAAAATGACAGATATAACCTTTTATAATTTAGATAGAAGAAAATGACCTTACAAATATCTCTTGTAATTTATCTTCAGTGTAAAGTCTCAAAAACTTTAACAATTAATGTTTCTCTCATTTTATACTCCTTGGGATGAAGTATTTTAATTTTATTTTTTTTAAAAAGAACATGGTACAATAATATTCTTTTTTTCTTTAAAATATACCTTTCCTTTTTAAAAAGAAAAAAAAAATCAAGTTGAAGTTTTTGGCAAGTCTAGTTGCTTGGGAAGAAAAAAAAAAGGCAATCAATTTTAAAAAGGTGACTATAAGAGAGAATATTTGTTTGATTAGAGTTGAAAATTTGAGCATATGTTCTCACAAGGTCAACTATCTAATATATATATATATTTGTTTCAACATGCGAGGTCAGAAATTTTATCAAGAATATCCAAAATTTAATATACATATATGAAAATAATTTTTTATTGACATATTTCATACATTTTTTTATATAAATTTCGACAAAGAGTGTCGATGGACCACCCTAGACTATATGTGGCTATGCCATTCAAAAGTAGGGGAAACAAATTAATAAAAAAAAACTATGATCATAAGATCAGGTGTCATTTTTTTTTTAATATTAGTAAAAACATTTCGATGAAGTAGTGTCCCGTGATATTGCTTGGGGCAGGGTATATCCACCGTTGGTTGAAATATATAGTAAGGTTCCTTCCATTCTTAATCGAAGGTCTCAGATTCAAGAGTCTTGACTAGAATAAATTATTTTTGATAAGAAACAAATTATCTCTCCCTTCCCAAATGAAACTTTTCGGCGAAAATTTGATCAATTATTCAAATTTCAAAGTGAATATCGAACGTCGGACGAAAAAATAAAAAATGCTTGAAGCTTGCACGGTTCAAACTGATGACGTACATTATATCAAGGTGACACTTGATTGCTGAGTTATATTTCTTCTCCACCCAATCAAGAAATATAATTGATTGATCTAATGTTAAGAGGTTGAGAAACTCAAAGCTACTATTTTGACCAACTTGGAACCATATTTTCACACAATTATGAATATAAAAATAATGGTCAAAATTAGATTCAACTGTCAATTGCACCTATCGAAAATACGATTGACTATTGATTCTAAAGGGACTGCATTACATCTATTTTTTTCATTTAAGTATTCTTATACATTTTCACATTTCATTAACATGACTATATTAAAAATGATTTTTAACATCGATTAATTAATGACAATAGTTTAATTGCTTTAAATATTTTTTATGGACAATTATTACTCTTTGTAAATGTCCCTAAAGTTTTTAGCTACATTAGATCCAATGACAATTAACTAATAAGGCTTTAGCACTCTTTGTCCGTGTGTATATTTATTGTCACTATAAGTTATTTTGTTTATAGTGTATAACTCTGAAAAATGGACAATTAATGAATTCCTTGATGATTAATATGTAGAACTTTTAAATATGGGAAGAAAAGTTATACTGAACAACAACGACGTCATACGCAGTATAATTTTATAAATGGATCTGAAAAAGATGAGTATACTGTATACACATACGTTACTCCTACTTTTTATGAGAATAAAAAGATTGTTTCTGATAGATTCTCGATTATAATAAAAGGTTCACACTAATCTTCATGAAAATTCTTTTGTACAAGTATGTAATTATGTTGTACAGTAATTATACCAAGGTCTCAATCTATTGCCTTATCTGTTGACCTAACAAAAAATCCAAGAGTAGTAGCCCACATACTTTCAACACATAATTAAATGCAAAATTTTGACTTAGAAGTCTACACTATATGCTATCAATCATAAAATAATTTTTCAATTTTTGACCAAAAAAATAAAATGAATAGAACCAAAAATGAACAATCAAACATTTGATCCATCACTGTCGTCACAGTGTTTTTGACAATGAAATTACCAAGTCTATATTGCCACATGCCCTCTTCTATAAGTTGATGAATTAACTTTTGTTGTCCCCAAGAGGATGCTTAAATGATTGATCCAGTTTAAAGCATCTTTTTTTTTTCCATTCAGACTTTGAATTGGAGTTTCGATTAATTCAGATTTTTTATAATCAAACCTTAAATACGAAATATTTAATTAAGAATGAAAGCATCTTATCTCCATTCCACTACAACTTAACCCTTAGTGGTTCCAAGTTCAAATATCTAAAGACTACGTAAATACGAAAATATGCTATAAATATTGTGGGACTAAACATAATGTTTTCCCATTTCATTACGGAGGTCCTCATAAAGCTTTTTCAGAAGAAAAAATTGGATGCTCCAAGACGCTAGATCCATGGGCTAATACATATGAAAAATTAAGAAAGTTGCGTAATTCCTAAAAGTAGGCTTGTAATGTGAAAATATTCTGTAAAAAATGGTGGGACTATACGTAAAGCTTCCCTAATTCATTATGGAGGTCCGCATAAAGTTTTTTCAAAAGAAGAAAAAAATTTGGTGCTCCAAGGTGCTAGATCCATGGGATAATACACACGAAAAACTAAGAAAGTCACGTAATTCCTTAAAGTTGGCTCGTAAATGCGAAAATATGCCCTAAAAATTGTGGGACTATACGTAAAGCTTCCCCAACTCATTACGGAGGCCCTCATAAAGTTTTCAGAATTTTTTTTTGGGTAATTTAAGGGTCAGATCAATCGGATAATACATACAAAAAACCAAGAAAGCCGCTTTATTCCTAAAGGTTTGCTCGTAAATGCAAAAATATGTCTTAAAATGGTGGAACTATATGTAATGCTTCCCCAATTCATTACGGAGGTCCTCATAAAACATTTTCATATCGATTTCTACTAGATCAAACCTTGCTTTGATTTCCATATGAAACATTCATATTGATTTCTACAAGATCAAGGCTCGACATAATTTCCACTAGCAAATGGCAATATTTTGAAAATTTAAGACTTGTTATAGCAGTCTTACACAATGTTGGCCACAATGACTTCCTTTCATAATTCTTTTTGGAATTTCCATGAGTACTACTATACCCCTTAATTTGGATTTCCACTCGAGCAAAGAATCGATAAGGAAATCCTTACGAGAGCTAAGTGCACGGAACTGTCTCTAGAGACGACAATCACTAGAATTAATTTGTTAGTGTTATTTTTGGCAAATGAAAATACTTCTAAAGTGTTTGTTTTTCACTATAAGCTGGAGTTTCATTTAAACATAACTTATTAACTATTGAAGATAGATGAAAACATATCATTTAACTCAAAAGGTCATTCAAGCCGAAAAGTGATATATAGTAAGTCATTCTTTAATGACGTGACATTGGAAAATACCATTTCAACCCAAATAAGAAAAATAAGTCATCAATCATACAAGTATATATCTTAATAATAGTACATTTCACTAATCAATAGATCAACCATGAAAATTATATTTTTTTAATGGCAATTAATTAATTAATTAATCTCCTGAATCCTGAGTTGGCAATTGATTTGGTAAAGGCTTTGAATTTTTTTTATCAATTTCCACAACAACATGATGTTCATCATCATCATTATACTCTTTGAAATGTGCAATTCTTCCCAATTCTTCAACTTCTTCAATAACAAGATCAAGTCTTGCCACAATTTCCACTAACAAAGAAGCAAAAGCAGCAAATGGCAATGCCTCTGAAAATTCAAGACTTGTTATAGCAATCTTACTCAATGTTGGCCTCAATTTTAAATTTTCATGAGTAGTACTACTACCACCTCTTAATTTGGATTTCCAATCAAGCAACGCGGACGTGTCCGTCTTCACGCTTGATAAGGAAACCCTACGAGAGTTTAGTGCACCAGACTGTCCTTTAGAAATGACAGTCGCTAGGGTTAGCTTGTTTGTGTTGTTTTTTGAACCAATGAAGAGTTTTGGTTGGGATTTTATTGCTTTGTTGAGGTCATGTAAAGCTTCATGAAGATGATCAGATAGAATTTCTGGTGAACAATGTCTACGATATCTTATGCTATCTCCTAATTCCTTTAGAGCTTTTGCTACTTCTCCTGAGAGTCTTATGCATGGATCTTTGAACATTGCTCGAACCGATCGAGGAGTCTGAATAAAAAAATATTTACATAATCAGATCACTTATGACATAATTATACGAAAATCAAAACGATATAAAAGTAATAACTAACATACTATAGTTAAAAATCTTTGGACATGAGTCAATATATGAAACCTAAATAATGATCATCACCAAACTTCATGTATTCATTTTATATAACAAGTTTTCGTAAGTAACATTCCACATTAATTGTTTCCTTCCTATCAACCCCCTGATCTCGACCACCCTATCACGACCCTCACCCACATAGTGTTTACCTAGATTATATACAAATGGTCTAGATATAATATTTAATTTACTGTTTACTTATCAAATACAAGAAAATAAGTAAGAAATATTTTCTTCATACCAAACTCGCACACCCCCACCTCAACCCATAGTTTGTTTAGATTATACATTGATCGATGTTCTTGAAATAATTTTTTGCTTATGTTATAATGATCCTACACAGATTCTCAATCAATATACACTGAATGATGGTTCATTCCCTGGAAAATTAGGGTAAGCCAAAGGTTTCGTTCAACACCAAAAAATAAGTAAGAAAATCACGTATTTTCAAGTAAACATTTTCTTTCGTACCAAACACATCCTAGGTCCTAGACTCTCCCCTTCCCCCTCGCGCAAAAAATAGATTAATAAAATAATGGCATATATAATAATACATAAACGTGCCCTTTAACTTGACTTCATCAATTGACATTCTATGCCTCTAACTTTGGGTGTGCATAAGTAGACAGTTAAATTTATACAAAATTGAACAAATAGACACAATCATTTACGTGGCATCCTGCATGGCAATTTTGTGTTTTACATGGCATCCTACGTGTATTATGCCATGTAGGACGCGTGTGTCTACTTGTTCAATTTTATACAAGTTTAAGTGTCTACTTGTGTGCACCCAAAGTTGGAGGGCACAAATGTCAGTTGAAGCCAAGTTAAAGACATGTTTATGTATTATGCCTACAATAATAGAAAGATAAACATATAATAGAATCAATCAACAAAAGAAAAGAATTAAGTCATATGTACCTGAATTTCAGTTTGAAGACAACCATGAAGAGCAACAATTGTATATCCAAAATGGCGTAGAACATTTCCCAATTTAACATATTGTTGCCATGGAAACCTATAACAATGTCTTGAATGTCTTGGCTCCCAACTTGCATATAATGCCTGCTCCAATCATATTTCAATTGTTTAATTTTGGTCATATACTGACAGTGGCGTATGCAGAATTTTACAATAATTTATATTCGTCTATAATCACTGACAAAATAAGAAATATATGTAATAAAAAATTTATAATGACTATGCAGAATTGTTTACTTTTGGTCATATACTGACAGTGGGTTCAGGACATGAAGTTTATTGGTTTTGAATTTTAGCTCTTTTAGTTATTAGGTTATGCATATTATAAAGGAATGTTTAAGGACAAATATAAAACATTATAGTATTTAATTATAATGAGGAAATTCAAGAACTTACCAAGGTCTCATCAAATGATTTTGAATCCAATACAGTTTTGTAACCATTGTAAATAGGATCCTCCAAATCTGAAGAATTTTCTTTGGTTTTTTGTTGTTCCTCATCACTGAAATACTCATTAACACAAGCTGCATATATAGTTTATATATAAGTTTAAAGTATAATTCATTAATATATAATAGTATAATTGAATTATGTAGCATCAAATAAAACTATACATATTTAATAAAAAATTATGACAACGCAACCGTTATCCTTTGGGTGTGCACAGGGTAAAAACCCCCGCTCCTATGTAATAGCTCGCAAACTACATAGAAGAGGTAGCCCGCACTAGGCAAGCCTGATGCGACAAGCTCGACCCAGAAGACAAACCCTTTGCTTTCGCTGGCAAGAGATTTCGAACTTGAGATCTCCAACATGGAAGTCTCAAGCCCAAACCACTGGGCCACCCCGAAGGATACTATAATTAGTCATGATCAATTAATTAAGACATAGTTTATGTGACTTATAGTATAGCTATGCTAGTGTAGAATATGAGATGAATTTTAAAAGAACCTTTTGTATAATCAGATCACCTAAAAGATAGTGCATAGAAGATAGAATGTTCTTAGTAAGTAGAATTAGCAAAATTCGAAAAATAAAACAATAGATCATTAATATTCTGATATATCTCTTGGTTATGGGTAAATAATTATGATTTTGATCGACCCTTATGATGTTTGACTAGATACATTTAACCTTAAATTAGTTAGAATATACACTTTTATGAGTGTGTAATATTAAGCTTATATTATATATTAATTACTCGATATTATTGTAATATTGTTCTAAATATAATCCAAGTAGCATAACATAATTCCTATATAAAAGTACTAAAAACACACATTTGTAATTAATTAAATATATCTTAATGAGATAACACAAGAACCGAAATACAAATTTATCAATAACTGAAAAACCAAAAGAGCTAATATCCCATCATTAAATTGTCTCTTCCATGCAATAAAAAAATAAAGAAATAATTAATATATTTAAGATAATTACGTATTTATAAAATGCCATCTTACCTTCAATGGATTTTGCTAAGCCTCCAAATTTAGCAGCAGTGAAATTATGAAGGTCTTCACCTGACCAATTTGGAAATATCAATAGGCTCATGAGGAGACAAATACCACAACCAATAGCTATGGTATAAAAACGTTCGTGCGCGATTTTTAATACGTTATCAACACGATAGCTTGATACAGTAATCAAATTAAAAGTCAAGAGGAATATCACCACGCCATAATCATAGTTTTTCTTTATGTAAGGAATAAATCTCATGTATGTCGCTGTAGCACCTGTCAAATAGAAAATCAAATAAATAAATAAAAAACAACAAATATGTCGAAAAGATACCTAAATACTAAACTAATCATCCAATAGCTTTTATATGAGATTATCACACAATTACATTTAAATTCATGTCACCAACAATTATTTTCTTTTAAAAAATCACAGTATTTGAACTATATGAAAAATAATTTGATCCAACACGTGTGGAGACATGTTAAAAACGTACAATTAAGTAAATAAAAATATTTCATGTCTAAAAAATGAAATGATCATACTATTTCCGTCCACTTTTAATTGTCATAGTTTTCTTTTTTTAGAGTCAAACAATAATAACTTTGACTAACATTTTATGATGTATTTTTTCATCATATTGATATGTAAAAAATTGGAATATATAGTACTTTTCGTATAGTTTTTTGAATATCTAAATTTTTTGTTTAAAGTAATCAAATTAATGTAATCTAATTTACCTTTAAAAATTAGTCAAATTGAATTTCGAAAACGCAACATGACACTTAAAAGTAAACAGATGGAATATAATTCAACAAAACGAATCAATTTTTCCTTCTTTTTTTATGTGTTGTTAATTCTAATAACTGATGAAATCTTGGAAATAACATTTTTTTTTAATTTCTGAAAAATAAATTCTTCTATTGCATCAACTAATAAAATAAAATCTTACCAATAAAAAAAAGTGCAGCTCCAATAAATATAGCTCTAAATACGTGGCCAGTTTTTGTGGCAACATATTCAATCAAAAATGCCAATGATCCTGCTAATAGTGTTCCCAATCCTCTATTTAGCCCTTTGCACAATGTTGCCCCTATTATTAAAACAAAAAATATACGAATTTAACTTTTATATATTGATAGTATAAAAATATATATACTTGTATAATCAAGTTACGTGTAACGTGATTACAAGTAAATTTATTCAAAAGACTTACATATCTAGACGTTTAGGAATATATACGAGTTGATAAAAATTTAGTGATAACACGTTAAACTATATTGATAGTATAAAAAAAGACATTGTTATAATTACCTGCGGTGAATTCGAGAACAACAACCACAGTCATGACAGCCCAAATAGCATTACTTCCAAATCCTTTGAACAATGGATCCATCAAATACAACAATGAAACCAATGTTAATGAAATTCCAACTTTTAGTGAGTGAATTACCCTTCTTGGATCTTCTTTACCAACTCTCCAAATTGTTCTACATGTTAATTTTGGAAATTTTTTCATTTTTTCACCAATAACATTCATGTGTAATTTCTTCATAATTGGTACCCAATTATTAGTAGTATTTTCTCCATTATTCACCTCCATTTCCACTACCATATTGGGTATTTTTGTACTCTTTTTTTTTGAGTTATAAAATGGTTAGGCCATGCAAAAATATGTATAAATGAGAGGTTATTGTTTCTTGAAAATTATTGGGATTTATAGAGGAGGGATTTCATTGCTTTAAATTTATTACATTTAAAAAAAGAGAGGTGTGATGTTTGGTATGTTCACATGTTTCCTAATAAAGTTAGTTTGAGATATTAAATATGTTCACTAGCTTTTTAATATATGGACAAAATAAAGTCAAAATAGAGAAGAAAGTAAAATTAACTTATGTGGAAAAATATTTAGGTGAAAGGAAGTGATTATCTTACCTTCACACACGATGTAAGAATAAGATCTACGTATATTATATGTTGGATATTGCAATTGTCGTGATTCGTACAATAATCTACTAGGTTAGTTAGATCTACTAAGATTCTTTTTTAAACATGCTCTCATTTCGAGTCGAGATGAATTTCCAACGACCAAATTTACATAGATTTTTTACAATTTTTTTTATATAATTGAGACATTTTACTTGTTTAACAACTATGGTTTTTGTAGAATGTTCACGAATGGAATTATAATGATTTACCAGACATGTATAATACTTTATAAGAGGAAAAAAACAATTAAATAGACACCAAAGAATACATAATAAAGACTAATTTCAACGTTATTAGACAGAAATTTTATACTACTTGATTTCACAAAATAATTAAAATTACATACACTAAAAATGTTTTAAAAAATTCATCTATGGGAGGACATCAATGCTCATAAGCATGAAAGAGCCACCTCTCGCCATAATATGTTCTCTATAATTTAATCGATTATAACGTATTATTACTCGGTCTATTATTGTCAATAACATTTATGATATCTAGTTATATAAATATAAAAATTATTTACATTAATTATTAGTACACAAAACATAAACTCTTCGCTGAATTATTGTGTATACCCTTTCAAATTATTCCAGTTAGATATCACGGGTTATAAGCTGTGAAGGGTGAAAAAGTAGTTGATTTTAACTAATTAGCTACTAATGGAAAAATAGTTAGGGAAATTTTTACTTTTTCTTAAAAGGGTGGGATGAATAAGATTTGAGATCGAATTCGAGTTCTGAATATATATATATAAAAAAAAAATCTTGACGGGGAGCATTTTTTTTCATCATTTTAATAGGTTTTAAATGACTTAAATCTTAATTAGTCAGACCTCCAATATAAATATCCCAAGCTAAATGAATAAAAAAGTGTTTGTTAAACTCACTCATAGTAAAGATTATTGTGTATGTTTCATTAGGGTTATAATAATCGTATTTACTTATAACAAAGATTGTGGTGGAATGAATATGATTATTTCTTTACTTCAATTTAAAGGATTCAAAGTTCAAGCTTTGAGTATGATATAATATTATTAGGAATCGCTTCCCTTTTTTATGAGTTTTACTCAATACGAATCCAAAAAATCAAAACTTTAGTGCAAATATCGAACATCGAGTTGAAAAAAAAGGTATCATGTGTGAAGTTGTTCTCAAAACAGCTGGGCTGTTATAATTTATAAACACTTTGACTTTTGATTCTTTCTCGTGCACCTCAACTTCCCCTCTCTTATAAACCATCCGTCCAAATTGTACCATGTGTCGATCACTCATTTGCGACACGTGTCACATTATAATCGGGACATGATACTCATCGGTTTCAATTTATGTGATGTGCACTTTGAGTGATCGCGAATTAAAGAAAGAAAGAATAAAACTTCTGATATTTGTGACCTAAAATGAGTCACTAATATTTGTGTAGTTATATTGACCATTTCATTGGGGTGAAAAGAGAAAGTTAAAGTACTATCAATCTTTTCATACGGACTAAAACGAAAAGCGTATCAAATAAGCTAGAAAGAGTGAGTAATTAACATTCACGGACATTGATCCATAACAAGATTTAAATTCGTGACACGCACACCACACACTATGTTTTTACTACTAAATCAAAGTTCGGGGAAGGAGGCATTACGCTCTTACTACTGAACCAAAGCTCGGGGAAGGAGGCATTACGCTGTAGATAGTTGTACTTTCACCAATACTACTAGTCCCAAAATCATAATTTGATAGGTAAAAAATAGCAATCTTGATTTTTCTTAAGATCAGAGGGTGTGTTCGGTATGATTGAAAATATTTCAATTTTCTCAGTTTGATTATTCAAATATTTTAAATAATATTTTCTTTCATAAAATAAGCTCATTCAAAATGAGAAAAATGATTTTCCTATTTTGTCCTCCCTGCCCTTTATGACACCTCATCTTCACCCCACCCCACCTCATAGCTCCTATCCCCACCACCGTACAACTCTACCTTCTATTGTGTTTGTCTAGATTATGTATAAAAAAAAATTAGGTAGTATTTTGCTTACGTACCAAACACAAAAAAAAAAAAGTAAAAAAAATATTTATTTTCCTAAAAAAAAAAATTCTAAGAAAACATTTTCACATCATATTGAACACACCCTAAGTTTTTTTTTTTTTTTTAAAAAAGAACATTTTATCACAAAACACCTAAAGGTTAAAAAAGAAACATTTCAAGATAAAAACTGCTACATTTGCAAGAGATTTTTTTTTGGAAAAAAATATTTTTCATCACACAAATAACACACCCTAAAGGTTAAAAAGGAAACATTCCAAGATGAGAACTGCTAAGAGAATATTTTTGTTACCGAACATAATTAAATAACTAAGAAACTCACCTATTTTTCTAAAATAATATTTTCTAAGAAAACGTTTCCATCGTACAAATACACCTTAAAGGTTAAAAAAAAGTAACATTCGAAGATAAAAATGACTACATTTCAAAAATGATATTTTTTGCTAGCATATTGGACTGAAGTAAACAAGTGAAAAACTCACTTATTTTTCTAAAAAAATATGAATAACATCTTTCAAAATAAGAACGACTACATTTCAACGAAAATATATTTTGTTTGTGTACTGAACACAAGAAATAAGTAAAAAACATTTTTCATCGAACCAAACACACCCTAAAGGTTAAAAAGGAAACATCTCAACCCCAAAGTTAAAAGAGAAACATTTTTCAAAATAAGAATGGCCACATTTCAAAGAATATTTTTAGCTTACGTACCAAACACAAGAAAATAAGTAAAAAATTCACTTATTTTTCTAAAAAAATATTTTCTAAGAAAGCATTTTCATCGTACGAACACACCCTAACGGTTAAAAAAGAAAACATTTCAAGATAAGAACCTGCAACATATCAAAGAGAATATTTTTTTGCTTACCCCATCTACGATGGGAAAAACATTTTCAGAAATGCCTGTGTAAAAAGTACCCATTACAACACAATGAGCTGCTGCTTGCTTAGTATATGTTCTATGAGCATAAATTTGAAGATAGTATAGTCTTCTACGAGCATAAGTTTTAAGATAATGCAGGAAATAAAACATTGTTTTATAGTCTAAACGACGGTTTACGAGCATGCTATGATAAAAGCTGGGATGAAGGTCTATGACCGTTGCTTACGAGCATGCCATGATAAAAGCTGGGATGAAGGCCTAGGATGTTGCACCAAAGACACGGATCCTTCGTTCAATTGGAGCCCTGCAGCATGGACATTTAGCAACTCTTCCCTTCTTTCCAAAGTTGTCGTTGCAGTTGGAACACAGAACTTGATGAGCACAAGGTAGGAAAACAACTGAAACTTCATGCTTCATGCACATGATACACTCCCTAGAGTCATCCTTCACAGGAGAATTCTCCTCGGAATTAGCTAACTCATGTAACATCCTTGCAATATCTCCATGGGGATGCTGTTCCGCATTAGAACCTGTTACTACATTAGCAGACTGATTCTGCAGCTCAGTAGATGCTCTAAGCCGAGAAAGATCCTGTTCAAGCCTTTGCAAGTCATCCTTGTGCCGCTGGAAGTCTATTTCTGCCTTCGAGCGCAATTCCTCAAGCTTCCTTTTGTTGTTAGCCTCGGTTGCTTCTTTGAAACGTCGTTCTTCGTCCACTAGTGCCGATGCTTGCTGCCTAGCCTTCTGTTCCTGCCTCCAATTTACCTGTCAAAAATTAGCAACATTATGTATTGACAAGTTCATCATGTGGTGTTCAGTTCAGCGCAGGAACTATTACAGTTCAAATTATGTAACCTCCAGGAAAGGATAGACTAGAGTAGGAAATAAAAAGACGCATCGATAACCCTAGGCGCATTGAATTACGCTTTGTGGGGATCTGCCAAAGAGACTTGCTATTGTTCACAAATACCTTCTTTTTTTTCCCAGTAAAACACATGTTGAACGAAATAATGCAACAGGATCAAGTAATCCTATAGCATAACACAACATGTAGGACACATTTTTCTACTAAAAAATGTGTTACAAATCTCATGTAAGGTTTCATAAAATCTTAAGAAAACAAATTAAAATTTTGTAATGATCATCCATTTTTCAGACAGCTTATCAGGAGAGAAAAGAAAAGAAGAAAAGAACAAAAAATTAGCCAAGAATTCATGAAAAAGATGAACATGAATTGACGTACATTTCTTTTCAACCTTTTTCCCCTTTTCAGATAAGAGTGAACAACTATGCTTTCGAATGTTCTTGAACATGAATGAATGGACGAGGCTTTCGAAAAGAAAAAAAGATATCCACTATTCCAAAACAAAACTGAGTTCGACTGTTGTTTGCATTGAAAGAAACTGGAACATGTCTATTGGCTGATAGAAGGCACAAATGGTGCAAATTTAGGTACTTCTTTTAAGATGAGGCAAGATGAGTTGCCTCATCATATCGAAAGAAAAGGTTTATGAAGTTTAAACTGCATTTTCGAACTACTCAAGTGAAATCTGAAAGGGTCACAATTTTGAGAAATACAGTTGCGTATCTCCCAGGCATGTCTTTGGGAAAGGAGGGCATGTCAACAACATACCCGGTGTGTCCCGCAAGTGGGGTCTGGGAGGGTGGTGACTGGTGTGTATGCAAGTGTCCTACCCCTACCTTGTGAAGGTAGAGAGATGTGTCCAAATCTTAAAAGTATAGGGGTGTATGCTGCATCTCCCCGCTTCTTACTTAGTCCAAAAATTTGCAGCTTCTGACATAAAACACCATATTTACAACCTCCAGTTTCAATGTGATAAATAGATATAGCTTACAATTTACAGTGGGAAAAAAGGAAGAAAAACATAAGGTTTCTGATGACCTGCAAAATTGGTTCATCAACTCATTGAACAGCTTTATTATAATTAAATGTCTAAATAGTTTACAATATTCTCCAACTAGTTGGAGTCCGCGAGGAATACAACAACATGACTGAACAGGAGATCACCAATTCTAGTAGTAATCTTGTCAAGCATACTTAGCTTCGGAGTTCGGATGACTCTCACTCAACTAGTTGAGTCGGTCAAAGATACAACACAAAGACTTCCCAGCGGGCCACTCATCCTAGTACTAACCTCATCCAAGTATGCTTAAGTTTGGAATTATTGATGACATGAGCTGGTAGGATCCTATTCCTCACATAATTTAACATCTTTTTCTTTTTGTAAGAACACAATTAGTCGGACTTAGGGGTTTGCAAAGGTCATATAGGGAGAGAAGCAACATATGATCAAAGATAAAACTTAGTACATGATACATCTTCCCTAAAAGATTTTGCTAGTGACTCTGAATAACTCATGATACGGAAAGAAAAAAAAAAGGCAAATATCTGAGGCTAGAACGAAAATGCTTCCAATAATGACAAGCCTTTATGAAGCACCAAAGCTATGCCACGTAATATGAGGACACAAGAATCTTAAACCAGTTCTCAGACAGTGATGTATAATGTTGTTAGCATTTCCACAGCAACATTAACAATAACAAGTAAGCATCAAGGAGAAAAAGAGAAGAAAGATCACACCTCAGCATCCTTTATAGCTACCCCTGACTGAGCCAGCTGGTTTTGCAAGTCTGAAATTTTTTGTTTCTCTGCTGCAATTTCCTCCTGAAGCTTCTTTTTCTGTTTGTCCCAAACACCAAGCTTCTTCAAGCACTTTTTCTCCCTTTTTGCAGCTTCCGCACATTTTTTCGCAGATTCTGAAGCGCTTAGCTTCGAGGCCTCCAGCTCCGCCTTCATTTCTGCGTTCTCCTCCTGAAGTGTTTTCACAAACATGTTTGACCGATCAACATTCGCGCTTGCTGTTCTTAAACTAGTCTCCATTTCTGATAATTTCTTCATGGTAGCATCTTCTATTGCCGGTTTACCTTTCTTCATTCTCTGGATATCCTCCTTCTCCATCCTCAACATTTTCAGCTCTGTCAAGTCATGGCTAAGCTTCCTAGCAGCCTGCATAGCTTTTTGGTGCGCCCAATCTTTCCTTTCCTTGACCTGTTTCTCAAGATCCTTTATCTGATCGAGCAAACTTAGAAGCATCTCATCTTTCTGGTCCAGATCTTCATTGCGCTTGCCCTGCTGCTGTGTATTTTCATCAAGATTCAAATCTTGAAATTTACCTACCACACAGTTAACAACATCTTGGCTTTTCGAAGTTTGTGAGCCACCCGACTGAGCAAGCCCACTTGATTGATCACCATCAGCCAGGGAACTAGAGGAAACCCGGGACTGGCGCTGCATATACTTAGGGTTTGACCTAAATCCAGCCGTAAACGCAGCTACATTCCTCTTTAGCAAGGTTTTCATCGACGGAGTAAGGTTAAACCTCTTAGGACAATCAATATCTTTCGGTGAACTAGAATCAGAGGTAATTGCAAAAGACTTATTTAACGGATATGCATTACCAGTGCTATTCCCAAAACCCCAGCCCCCATGAAACCTACACATCGCGGGCACAACCCCAATAGGACCAGTAGCAACACCCTCCACATTAGTACTACTACTACTACCACCACCCACCGACCCATTAATACGACCACTCCCATCAGGAATTTCCATCACACTCGCCCTACCCACATGAAGATCACTAACCAACAAGCACCACATTGCATCCACTTTACTTAAATGTGGTTTCATTTGTTGCAACAAGCAAATCATACCCGCTAACGAATACTCCTCTAACTGTCTTAAATCAACAAAAGGTTGATCTGATTCATCCCCACTCGAAGAACTCCCGCTATTTACATACCCATTATTCAAATACGACAACGAGTTATGTAAAATATTCGTCAGAACATCCATCCCACCATAACAATGACCATTTTTCAATATAGCTCTCATAGCAACTTCCTCATCATAACCCAAATCCATAAGCTTAGTAACAGCCTCACTATACAAAACCTCCAAATTTTGCAACAAGATATCTTCCAATTGATCCTCAGTACAGCAATTCAACCCACTTTCATCAATCCCCGAACCCGAACCCGAATCCCCATCCGACCCGACATTAATCGGGTTTGACTGTTGAGCTATTTCACTCTCAGAATTCAATTGACGAACCCCAGATTCAGAAATTCCAGAAAAATCTAAAGAATTACTTTTACTACTGATTTGGGTATTAAAATCATGATCGATTCTAGCCGATCTTAATCTTCGATTGTTCCTTATATACTTCTCTTTAGAACTCATTTGGGAATTTAAATTTTCACTAAAACATTAAAATGAACCTGCAAAAAGGGGAAAACACAAAACACAAAACCAACAAAACCAAAAATTGAATTATTTTTTTTCCAAAAATCATTCTTTGATCAAGAATTTATGAACATTTATATGATTTCAGATGAAGAAAATAGACTTACAGCTTTGTGATTATCGCCTTCTTCTCTCCAGACACACAGAGGATTGGGAAGTGAAGGTTTACGAATGACAACACAGACAGAATTGGACATATATATGTGTGGAAGCTTTTAGAGAGCTTCTATGGGCTTGTTATTGTTATATATGGGCTAGGCAACATAATCGAGTAGATTTTAGATTTAGCGAGCGTAAAAATTATATTTGTAAATTATAGTTATAGTTTGTATAATTGCGTTCTATATCAAATCTTATGTTTGTTATGAGCATCAGATTTGTATAAATGGCAGGCAGTCATTCGTTTGTATAAAAGCACAACGATTGTATATGTATATCGATTAGATAATTGTATATATGTCATTACTATGTATATGTATCAATGATTGTGTTTGTATATCTGCATAAAATTTGAATGTGTATATAATTGAATCGAGATAAAACATTTGTATATCAAATCTCTCTCGCTTTATACAAATACAAATTATACAATGTATACTTTGTATTTGTATGAAGCGAGAAAGAGAGAAAGACAAAAGAGAACTAGTAGGGAAAGATCTGTATTTGTATAATTATAACTGTATAGGACGAAAATATATGTATTTGTATTTGTATATACAGTTTTCTCTCGCATTATACAAATACAAACACAATTTATACATTTGTGTTTGTATAAAAGTGAGAGAGGCGAGGGAGAGTGGTGAGCGCAATTAGGGAGAGTGGCAAGCGAGATTTCTGGGGAGAGAGGCGAATGACAAGTGTTTGCTACATATTAGAATTAAATGAAACTGTGGTTATAACATTTAATTGGAATTAATAGTTTGTTATTTGATACATTTTTTCCCCAAATAATATTGATGGATTGGGTTCATGATATTTTACTGGATATGTTGTCGTTGGTTCAAGAAATTTCATCATTTGAGAAATTAATAGAATAATCGTTCGTGTAAAAGAATGTAATATGTACGTATAAATTATGAGAACCACATATTATAAGTACTAAACAACATCCTATCCCTTCTAGTTTTCTATTTACCAAAAATCCCTTAAAAATGATGTTTGCGGGATACATAGCGTTGTCCACGTGATACATTAGGTTTGATACATATCTTCACTCAATTCAAGTCTTATAAGAAACAGTAAAACTGTCTTATAAATGCAGTATTCTAGCTAGCTATATCATTACAGTTTGGAGCAACTTTTCATATATATATATATATATATATATATATATAATTGCTTTGATGGATTCTGAAGGTATCCGACACCTCTCACTAAGGCGAATCCAAGATCTAGAGTCAGTGGATTCAGAATGAGTGAGATCCTATAATATGTATACGTTTTCAAATGTTTTTTGCAGGATGTACAAATAGTTCGATCCGCGAGCATTAGGTTCAGTTCAACCCACAGTACCTGCTCTAGATCCGCCTCTTCCTCTCGGTGTTAGGAAATAGGCAACTCAGAGAAAAGAAAGCTCTCCTTCTCTTTGGCCGCTGCAATTGAAGCTCATTCTTAGCGACGAATTCAGCCATGTACTCTACAACAACCTGATAGCAAGAAAAAAGAAGAAAACGAAACAAGTTAGAAAATCTAGAGATAATGGTCAAACAATTGTTTTTTACGAGTTTCACACCTCAACTATCAGATGTTCCCTTTTTCCCTTTTCTTACTTGAACTATCACCATATATGTATTAAAACACACTTCAACGGCTCAGCCGTCTATTTTTTTCCTTTTCCTACGTGATAGTTGAGGTGTGCTTTAATACATAGATATTGATAGTTCATGTAGGAAAAGGGAAGAGTTGATAGTGTAGGGTGTGAAACTCGTGAAAAGGCGATAGTTCAAGTATGTTTTTAACTATCAACTCTAAAAACTACCATAAAGTCTAATCACCTGAGCCCCTAGCTTTATAATTTGCCTTGGTGGTACTTCTAGTGGAGTCTCATCAGCTCGAAAAGTTTTCAACTTTGACAAGAGCCTGAAGGAGTCGGGCAACGTTCTTATTTGACTGTTGCTAATATCAAGCTCTTCAAGATTCTCAAGGTTCCCGATTGATCTTGGTAAAGTTTTCAAGTCTGCAAAGTTGTTTGCAAGATTAAGCTTTTCCAAGCTGACAGCAAAACAGAATGTTTCGGGTATGTTCTCAACTTCGTTGAAGCTAACATCAAGTTCCCTGAGGTGAGAAAGATTCCCCATTGTCGTTGGTAATCCTTTAACTCTGTTGATGTGCAGTGTAAGAATCTCCAAGTGTTCGAGCATTCCCATTGCCTCGGGGAGAGCTTTAAGCTGATTAAAATCCAATCTCAGTTCTACAAGGGAAGAACAAAATCCTATTGTGTAAGGAAGTTCCTCAAGCTGATTTGTTTCCACGTTTAGTCTCTTCAAGGAGGTTAAGTTCCCAACGAAATCAGGCAAATGAGCGAACCTATTCGAACCCAAATCAAGATCAATCAGATTTACTAAGTTCCTGAAAGAAGCTGGCAGCGATTTCAACCTGTTCGCATGAAGGTCGAGATCAGTCAAATTGATTAGCTCACCAAATGAATCAGGAAGGTTTATAATTTGGTTGGAGTGAAGATCGAGCTTCGTTAAGGCATTAAGGCTACCAATTGTAGTTGGAAGAGCCATAATTTGGTTATCGGCAACGTTTAGCTCAGTGACATTCACCAATTTCCCAAGTGACAACGGAAGCCATTCAATCTTGTCCATTAACTTGTTGTGAAGATCGACAACTCTTGCTCGAGTTTTGGCAGCATTTTCAATTAGGGCAGCTACTTTCATTAAACTGTACTTCTCTTTGTGCTTGATCCCTAAAGGCAATTACACAACAATTAAGACATAGTATAGTTGAATGCCATATCAGTAACGAGCCAGGACTTTTACTAAGAGGATTTAAAATAGAAAAGAGTAATACACGAAGAAGGCTACAGGATTAAACATATAGTATATACAACAACAACAACTATGTCTCGGTCCCAAACAACATATATAGTATTTATACATAAAAAAGAAATTGACCTATTTGCACATTATAATTTTCCGATGAAGGGATATCAATAGCTTTGCCACTGCCACACATACTGAACGAATGCTGGAAACCTAGTAGATTAGTTGACGTACATAGCAAGCTAGCGCCATCACTAAAAAGGAAAAAGAATAATGCTAACTACGATTTAAGTTCCAAGAGAGACACCCGAAAGAAAAACTCTAAATGATGTTTTCCATCAATCTAAACATTGACGGCCAACAACAACTACGCCCCAATCCCAAACAAAGGGTTATCAATAGCTCCGCCACTGCCACACATACTGACCTATAACCGGAAACCTAGTAGATTAGTCAACATACGTAGCAAGCTAGCCCCATCACTAAAAAGGAAAAAGAATCTTGCAAACTAGAGCTCAAGTTCCAAGAAAGACCAAAAGGAGAAATTATAAATGATGTTTTTCCATCAATCTAAGCTAGCGTTTTGCCATAGATTCTGAAGTTAGAAACTTGAACGATTTTTGAAGTTGTGTTTGGATACATATTTTATTCTAAGATTTCCAATAAAATAATGCAATAATCAAACTACATACTACAACAACACATAGTAACAGAAGGACAAGAAACCAGATAAGCAATGCTAGGACTACTAGTACCTACTAACCTCTAGCCTAATACATGCTCTCCACAACCTCCACAACTCACAAGCAAGCAAAAAGTTGAAATCTTGGATGCACACACAAAGCATAACAAAGCATTCTGAACATTAGCTACAATAAAATAATAAAATAATCTAAGTACAAGGAACAACAAATAGTAACATAAGCAATACTACAACTATTAGTATGGACAGATAGAAAGACAACACACTACCTCCACAACTCACAAGCATGCAAAAAGTTGAAATCTTGGACACAAAAAAAGCAAAAAGGAGAAGCAAATACCCAAACCTGAAGAAGAAACAGTAATCAATTCACAACTTGTAACCAAACCCTTCATCAAAATCTCATTTTTTTTTCCAATTTCACCAATTGGGTCCTCAAAAGAATTGATTTTTCCCATTTGGGTATCTCCAGAAATCAACTGTGTAGCTTCCTGAATCAATACATCAAAATCTTGATAAGTCTTATCAAGTTCAATTAACTGAACAGCCTCTTTCCTCTGTTCTTTGCTTTGAAACAAAACCATAGCTTTTCTCACTTGTTGTAACACAGAGAAAAGCTCAGCTGGAACATTTTCTTCTATCTCCACTACTTTCTTGGAAATTTCATCAAGTTCTATTTTTTCTTCTGTTTCTACTGATTTTATTACAGAAATTGAAGCTTCAATTTCTAAAATGGATGGTCTTGGTGGGAGTGATTTGTAAATTCTTGTGATTTCTTCTATGATTTTTGTACAGGCAGGTGATGGGGTTTTTGTGATTGGAGTAGCCATGGGAGCAAAGAAGAAATGATGGAGAAATTAATTGTTTGGATTATGTATTGATTATGTTTGTAATTATTATCTGCCAGTTCAAATGGTTGAGCATCTCGAGTCTTAATTGATAAGTTAAATTAAGTCACTAAAGAAAGTATGTATAAAGTTTGACAACTTACACAATTTTTTTTAAATTAAATTGATATTATTTTAATATAAATACTTTATTATATATTAGATGCATACTAAATTAAATAATAATTTGACTGCTAAATAAAATTAAGAAGTTATTGATGTATTAAATTTTCTATATTTAAATTAAGAATTAAAGATTAAACATTACACACCAATTAAAATTTGATAAATCTTTATTTTATACAATGACTATCAAATTAAATGACCTTCATGGAAAGTCAAATATCAGGTGATAGAGTCAAAAGAATAATA